GAAAATACAATCACCCAATCATCGTATTATAGCATTGTACTAACCAGTCACTGAGCAAACCAATTTTAAGCTAAATAAATTTTGCCTCAACTGACACATTAATATTCCATCTACGTCAAGAGTCGCTAGAGATATGGTCACTCAAAATAATCTTTAAAAAAATAGGCGTGGCAAAATTGTGCGAAACCAAAGAAACGTAAAACAGTGTTCGCGCTCTTATCGACGGGCGCCAACATTGGTGGAATGGGCACCTTTTGAATGTCAAATGAATCGACAACATTATTGTCTCTGTAATGAACAGTACCTTCTAATGATATTTCAAACACCTGGAAAACAGAGCAGTCACAAATGCCACTCACAACCAAGACATGTGCTCATAACATGTGCAATCGGCACGAAACCTTCTTTACTCATGGATGGGTTAGTTAGACTTTGGACAGAGTCGTCTATCAGTGAAGAACAGAGGTCACGAAACTGCCGTGTTTTTTTTTGGGTGGTCTGGAATGGAATGAAAAAGCCCGCTCTCATGAGAATCACCGGATGGCTTGGTTTAGTGGACTACATAGCGCAAGTGCTCAAATGTCACGTCTTACCCATATTTTCGTCTTAGCGTCATTCAAGTAGACATCTTCAGGCATGATAAAGTACTTTTTCACAGGGCCAATGCCACTAGACAATTCTTGGAAAACCAAATCATACCAACGTTGGAGTGGTCACCAGTCTTGATATGAATCCTACAGAGATGTAAAAGCCCCATGAAACTGCAGCTGAACAAAAGTGACTTTGGTCCCTATTCAGACCCTATGTTTGAAACTCTCTGTGACATTTGGGATGAAATTACAGATAATTATGTCCAGAATTTCATAGAGTCATAGGGCTTTTTCTCCTCATATACTCAATATCTCCTAAACAAAATAATAATGTGTTCAGTCCAAGTTTTGCGTGGTATTTGTAATTGTTCTGTTTTCCAATCTATTTTAAACTTTCGTAATTTATTTATTGTTTATTGGAGAGACAATATTTTCCATCCATTTAACATACAATGTGTGTCCATGCCATCAGTACTGATTCACCTCAATACGCACGCAAAGCCACTTTAACGTTTGTTTGATCTCACATAATTTTGCCAAACCTGATTTTTAAAGGTCAATTTTGAGTGACCATATATCTCGGGCGACTCTTCACATAGGTGGAATATTAATGTGTCGGATGAGGTAACATTTATTTAGTTTTAAATTGAAATGCTGCATGAGTGGGTAGCGCACGGCTTTAACACGATGATAGGGTGATCACATTTTCAAGTTTCTTTCGGACGCCACTGTATATATATAAGAACACCCAAACTCCCATTTCCCACTTCTTCCAGTCCTTACCCGTTGTAAATTCGTGTGTGAAAAGGCAGTATGGTATTTTTCTTTAAGTGAATAGTTAGAAATTGCCGAAACAAAAATACAATAATATGTTATATTTGACACCCTGCAAGAGACATGACAGTGTCACAGCTACTACACCTGATTTTGTTATAACGAAACGTGTTCCTTCGTCTGTGGCGTCTCCATTGTAAGTACATCATACTACTGATAACTCCTCAGGGGTATCCTAAACAAAATTCCAGAACTTTCCGTCTGATCCTAAACTAAAAGAGAGCAGCTTCGCTAGTTACATAGACGAGTTTTTTGGCAAAATACTTTTATGCACTCCTAACCTCAACCCCCACCTTTAATCCGATCACTAGTTAAAAAAAAAGAAGAAGCAAGACAAACAAACGAAATGAGATAGAAACGAAACAATGCAAAACAAAACTACTTTGGAACAAAGAAGAGTCCATAAATTATACTGTTAGTTGTCTACTGACTGTTTACCACAAATAACATCCTTGTCTATTTTGAGAATAGTAATATTATGATTTTATTAAAAATAATATTATTTTATTCAAAATGTATAAGAAGGGCACATGTTCCAATTAAAGACAATATACATACGTAGAAATATAAACGAATGCTCGCAAAAAGCAGTGATTGTGACGAATGTATGACAAGAAATGGACGGAAACCTTTAGCTTACCATGGTGTCAAGCCTGTATCTTCTCAGAGCTGTAGGAAGAATAGGAAAGGTGGAACTGCTATTCCCAACTCGTCGACCTTTTTCCTGGGCCTCGTGGTAGGACTCTTTCTCGGCACGTCCCTTCGATTATTGCCAGAGATTCCAGATGGAGACTGCCTACAAAAAACTCTCTCTCCGGCTTCTATTGTCCCCGAGGAGGATGGATTTAGAAAACAGAGTACCAGCTCCAAGGAAAACTCGGAGGGGGAAGAAGTGGACTTCCTGTTTGTGGGAGTCATGACAACGCTCACCAACCTCCACTCACGTGCTATGGCCAGTAACAACACCTGGGTACAGCGAGTGCCGGGAAAAGTTGTCTATTTCGTGGGCGACGGAGCCAATTACACAGGTACAGTGGGGTTGGGTTGTTGTTGTTTTTTTTTTTGGGGGGGGGGGAGTTTTGTTGGTTTATTTAATCGACAAATTTTCCGTTGCTAAAAACGTATTTATTATTTATCGAAAGACACAAATTCATTTCTTGCAAAATCCAAATCGAAACGATTAACGTCCCGGTTATTGTTTTATTATTTTTTCCCCTTTAGTTTGTATTTTTTTGTTACAATTTTGGTGCGGATTGGGGGTGGGGATGTCAGAGGTGCTCGAAATGGCAGAGGGATGGTTGTTTGGTTCTTTTTCAGTGAAGCTCTAGTCTGGAAGACTCAACATCTTTCGCGCCGATTGAACGCTTTGAGCCTCAATGGTTGTTTATGTTTAAGGTTCCAAAGACACACTCATATTTTTGAGTCGGGCATCTTTAACTTTGTCTGCAAGGTCAGCCTGTACTGAGAAAGACACAATGTTCCAGCCGAAAGAAGAGGTACTCGATAGTATAAGTTTTGGCATTAGAAAAAAGAATTGGTTTCCTTTGCGTGTGATGGTGAAGAGCTTTACCGATACACCACAGGCACCGGTACTCAAAGCGTGTAAAGGTAAGTTGTTCCCGCATCCGATCCGGACTTTGGGGATTGCCTTATTAGTGAGACAACTTCCTGGGCCTTCGGCATAATGTGGTAGGGTGGCCAGTTCCTTTCCATACCGCCTTTACTTCCCCAAATCGATGTCAAGTACCCATTACTGCTGGGTGGGCAGGAGGGAGCGAAAGAAAAAAGAGGGTACCCTGGACCAATTTATGGGGAAAGAGGAGAAAGAAAGACAGTGTTTGACAACTTAATTTAAAACAAATGATAACTAACATCGAGCATTTCAAAAACATGTGACACTGTTTACCGCGCTGAATGGCATTGGCAAACTCAATAATAGAACTTGTTGAAAATAAAGATATTTCTAATTAGTGTATTATGACGTACGATAGCGCAGTTGTCGCCCGTCTCCTACTTGACCTAAACTGCACATACAACTTTTGTCCCTTTATTTTCTTTTAGTTCTCCTTTCCATCATCTTCATCTACCCATTTCCTTCCCTTCACATGTTGTATTATCATGTCCACATGAAAATATCCCATCAAAGTAGAAAAGAAACGAAAAAGTACCCAAATGAAAAGAAAGAAGTTGAACAAATGATGAGTGTAGGCCACTTCTTGTCAACTTTATTTTAATAGCCAACGCCCTCAGTTAGGATGCTAGAATTTTCGTACCGCCCACATGCATATTTTTCTATGCGGGCATTGATTAACATCTTTCACTACCTTGGCGACCCCTACTGCCCACCACAATCACCAGAACGCTCTCTCTCGTGGGTGATGTCGTCCACACTGGCAAGCACTGGTCTGACCTCTATGGACGCTGCTTCCGTTGTTAACTTACTTACTTACGTTTACTTTTTCCGTCCTCTTATACCACGAGTGGAGATGCAATTGTCGGACATGGGCCAGGTGTGTTGCTGTTTGGATCGTTATGTTATTCCTTTGGAGGGTATCTTTGAGTCCGTCGATCCATCTTTTTCGTGGCCTTCCTCTTGCCTTGACGCCATCGAATCGCATGTTGTAGGCCATAAAGGGTGGCTGTTGTGGTCCCATTCTCCCTACGTATCTAAACCACCTTATTTATTGTGTATCATTGTACTTCATGCTAGTAACGTCTAATGTCTTATTTTCTTTTGTCTATCTTTCTTTATATTAAAGGATTTTTTATGAAATTTCTTTTGGCATGCTGTTATTTTACTTAGCTGTGCTTGGTTGCGACATTTCATTTTGCTGGTTATTACATTATTTTTATTAGTTCCGCTTTCTTGAGGGACCAGGGTTGGCAGGTCCAGTGCCAAAACTGGACTCTGTTTGCACCAGTAACATATCCTGGTTTGACCGTCTATCAGGAGATCTCCACGTTGTCCAGTTGGCTGGAGTGCTAGACAACGACTATCCCCCGAGAAGAAAATCTTTCGCTATGTTGAAGTACATCACACAACATTATGCCCAAAAGTATGAGGTTAGTAAAAGTTTCATCTATTAATTTCAAATTAAGAAAGAAAATACAAAAGCAACATCAGTATCTACATTATCAGCAATAGAATCAACAGCGAGAACAGACACTTGCAGAATAATCAGCTGCAGCAACAGCAACAAAAACAGTAACTCCATCATTGTCATCAGTGTCGTGATGAGCAGCAATACCAATACCAATAAAAACATTGGCACCTTCATGAATGTCATAATTGGTAGTAATAACAACAGCAACGACAACAAAAATCACCAGCAGCAGCAGCAGCAGCAGCAGCAGCAGCAACAGCAGCAACAATATGAGCACCATCTATGTCATTATGTATGTATTATGTGTCGTGGTTAGTAGTAACAACAACAGCAGCGTCAACAGGAAAAACAAATTATGCTCTTAATAAACAAGATCATAGACTGAACGGACAGAGCACACCCCTAGCGGAAGACAGAATAATTGGCTCAAATTTCTCTTTCATAACCAATTTTTCTATTCTTCAGTAGGCCA